CCCCCCCCCCCATTTTTCTGATAAAAATTTGCCCATCCCCCCTTTTTCTTAACAAAATCTTTCCAATTCCCCCTCAATTTCACCTGCCATACATTATGAACGCAGCCTTAGTTTTTCGTGAAATTTGTAGGTCTGTCGCTGATACAAGAAGCAATAGAGGAAAGAGATACCCTTTTACAAAGAAAATACCAAGAACACTACAAAACCTACCAGGAAGACATAACCCGTGACTTGACCGATGCGTTACTAAAAGCAACTCGTGCATCATCCCAAGATGACAACTCAGACCAACCGCTCCCATTCACAGAAGATAATATCATCATGACCATGAGTGATATATTCAGTGGGGGGATCGAGACCATGTCAACCTGCCTGCTCTGGGCGATCATATACATGGTTCGCAACCCTAAAATACAAGAACGGATTCACAGAGATCTTGACGAGGTGGTTGGAAGGGGTCGCTTGCCTGATCTGGAAGATCGTTCAAAGCTTCCGTTCGTGGATGCAACGATCGCGGAAATAATGCGGTTCAGTTCGCTAGTTCCTCTACTATTCCCACACTCCACCACCGTGGATACTCAGCTCAAGGGCTATTTAATTCCTAAGAATACCGTGGTACTGTTCAATRTATGGGCCATGCATCATGACCAGGAAAAGTGGTCCCACCCCGATATTTTTGATCCAACAAGATTCCTCGACTCCGAAGGCAAAATGGTTTGTCCAGCCACACTCAGTTACTTACCGTTCTCTGCAGGACGAAGGGTCTGTTTGGCCGAATCTCTTGCAAAGATTCAGTTGTTTTTGTTCATCTCTCGATTACTCCACAAGTTCGAGCTTAGGATTCCGGACAATTCGTCTGCTCCAGACCTCGAGGGCATCTTTGGTGCCAGCCTCACACCTAAACCTTTCGAAATCCTTGCTCAAAGAAGATTTTAACTTGAACAAAAAATGCACTGACAAATAAAAAAATACTAGTATTACATCTGTAAAATATTAGAAAATATATCTGTGAAAATTTGCGAGACAAGAGAATATGAAAAGTTGAGTTACTGCCTACTTTTGACCGTTCGATTTGAGGCCACGATGTGCGCGCGCACGAAAACCGCTGAAAAACCAAAATTTTATTGACGAACGGGAATCATACACGTTTTGAACTTTAAAGGAGAATTACCATCAAATTTTGAGCGGGACTCTATACTTTTCATAAGCTTAATCGAAAAAACTGAGTCAGAAATGAGTCAGAAGTGAGTCAGAACTGAGTCTGGGTTTTGATTCTATAATGATTTTTTATTTCTATTTTTACGGCTATTTGTTAACATGTTAGAAGGAGAGTTATATGAAGTCAGCATTAACCATTCCGAGGTTAAGGAACAAATTGGGTCGAGTTGGTATTGAAGTGCATTGTGGGACTGTTTGACAGGACGAAATAGACGCCATTTTGGAAATATGTTCCATTAGACAGTCTCACGATGCACTGCCATGCCAGCTCGATCAATTTTTTTTCTCAATCTCGGAACACTGAGCTAATATACCATAAGATATTTAGTCATAAAGATGGTAATTATCATGGACGTTAACAGTTAATGGATYGAGTCAGTTTTATTATTGTATTAACCCATTAGCCTCGCTCGGCTCYAAGACAGAAGGTTTCACTATAGACACAACTGTAATAACATCTTATCTGCTCGTAATGCTCATAACCAAAACATGGCGGATATGACGTACATGCACCCCGAGAATAATCAATCTTTTGATTTTTTTAGCGCAATCTTCTTGTTTTGTGATGCGAACAAAAATAATAAAAGGCCAACCTTTCATTTTCTACCTGAATTGGACCATCTGCGTGCGCTTGCTACCGATTTTCAAGCGTCATCAAGGGAACTTAAGCTCTCAATAACCACAAATAGAAGTAGTAAAAATAATAAGACTACTTGACCAAATGATTAACAAAACCCTTTTTGCATTAGTGGAGTTTAACATTTATCGTTTTGATATGACGGACGATAGCGCTGTCTCCTCTAAACCCTACCTTACGTGTTTCTTTTTTTCTAGAACTGCGGTGACCTTCATTATTGAATTGTTTAGTGCGTGGGCTGAAAGCTTTTATTTTCTTATCTTTTGTATTAAAAAAAACACACCGATGGACGAGTGAAAAACGTCTGCGCATGCTCTAAATCCGTATGCAAATGAGGAGTCAAAAAGTCTTCACGCTATTGTAAAAATATGTAAATTTGACTTTCAAACATGCCTGATAAATTGCCCTATTTCACTATGACGTCACATCAAAACAATCTATAGTTTAAACSCAAAGGATCATGGTCGTCGGAMGGGGTCAAATCAACGCTAATTCACCGAAAATTGTTCTAAAACCCGTATCAATCCACAAAGAGAAGTAGAATAGCCAGCAAACGCTCAGAATATTTTTTAGTACGTATTAACAGATATTATATCTGAAAACCAGGCCATTTTAGATTAAACTGTTTCGCTAGGAGCAAATTTTGTTGAATTTTCTATTAGATTTGGCGATTCTATCCCCCACATAAACAAGCAGTGACGTCATAGTGAAATAGTGAAATTGGACTTCACAAAATATCAAAATTTAGTGTCCATGTTTGAAACTTTAGGGGTAATTCTTTCATATTGTGTTTATTAATACAGTATCTTGGTCTCACAAAAGTATGCTAGCGAAATGTTTTATTATATGAAACAAACATTTTTCTCACTCAAAATCTTAATTCTTAGAAAACGTGCTGAAAAGCACGCATGCGCAAACGTTTTTCCCTTGTGTAGCTTCGTGCACCGAGATGCGATCAATAAGCCATTACGGCGCCCTTTTACTAAATTTACTCGTATTCTTTCTACTTTCGAAATTTCTCGGTTACTGTACAGATTTTAAGAGCGGACGTTTCAGTTATATCATTATGCAGTAAACAAATCAAAGCCTGAAGCACAGCCTCCTACAATTTATAATATTAGCAAGCGTGGGTACCGTTGGAACATACACGGCACTGTTGAGTTTTTGGAGGCCGGTAAACAAAAAATTCCCGTACTGAGTTAGTTTGTAGAGTAAAATATTTTGTATCAATTTTACGGAACCCTGAAACAGTCTCAGGTAGGATCATCAAAGCCAGTGCAAGACGAATTAGATCGAATTGGAATCTAGTTTAGCGTGCTTGGTTTTGCTAAGGTAGGAAAAATAGAGAACCCTGGAAAAAAACCTCGAATGGAGGGAGAGAAAAAATTCTGCTTACATGTGAGCTAGCTAGGTCTATAGGAATCGCATGCCTAAGCGCACACCACCCCTTGATGTATACGAGTGGAAAACCGTGCCTGCAAATCACGTTCTATTATGGATTTCGTTCTAAACCAATCAGAAAACAGGACAGCTCACAATTGCCAATCACAGCAATTAAATTAGTTGTGATTGTAATAAGTAATTAATTAAAGCTAACTGCAATAATTTAATTCATTTAATTTTAATTTATTAAATCATTTTAAATTTATTTAATGTTATCAATTGTAATTAATTTTGTGGGGCCCGTCGTAAAAACGGTTTAATGAACACCAGGTCGATTTTGTACGAGTGGAAAAAGATATGGCAAATTCGCAGCAGTCGTATCAGAAGAATACCACGCAATATGAAGGAAACAAAGGGAAAGAAGCAGTCATTTGAGGGATTTTAGTACGAAGAAAAGACGAGTACACAACTCAGATATCTTATCCTAATGCGCGATGAAAGGACTACTTTAGCTGCGCACTGTAAACGCAATAATGATAATGTAGGATGAAAACACGTTAAGCTGATTAAATTAAGATTTACTCAGCGAATTGCACCACTCAATCAAAGATAAACCAATGCTTTAGGTATTTACACTAGATTTAAGAGTTCGTATATCTTTTAGCCAAGTTCAAGTGCGCTAGCTTGCGCAAGCAATGTCTGAAATATATCGTCAGGTTTTTTTTGTTGTTTATTCAGTTCTCTAATATTCATAAAAACGCGTTTAGTCAACCCATCTAGTATTTTTTCTACAACATTTTACAAAATTGTAAAAACTGTATTATGGTCTAAGATATATTTATTGTACAAAATATGACCAAGAAAAACAGAAAAAAAACAACAAATTAAGACAAAACGACAACAAAAATCACCAACTTATATAATTCCGTTGTATACTGTATTCTCAGCAGGCAAATAATTTAAAAAGAATAAATGGTTATAGAGAATAACATCCCCATAAATTAACTAAATCTTTTGGAATCCAAGCAAAGAAAATATCAGTTTATTTCTTCTTTTTTTTTCTTTAATTTTGATGAACGAACTAATTTTAGCAAGACAGGTGCTAACTTACTTGATAAAGAATTTTCCAGGCTCGGATCACTTGCTCCTTCAAGAAAGATAAATAAGATGAGTAAGATGAGTAAGATGACATCAAAGGGGTGTTTATCGACGTCATCATGATACAAACAAATCGTAATAATGATTAAAAGTAAGGAAGATAAATCGGATGGGATGATAAAGCCCTTGGCCTCTTTCCTGGCTTATTCCAAGCGGTCAACCGGTATTATATTGAATCCAATAATTCAAAATAATATTTTATATAAAACATTCAACTCAACAAATAGACATCATTTTTTTATGTGTCTGTCCTCTTATTGACGATAAATTGCGTTGCGTCATCACATTGTCAAAGTAGTGTGCTTACTACCTTGACAATATGATGACGAAATTTATCGTCAATAAGAGGACAGACACTTAAAAAATGATGTCTATTTGTTTTTTACAATAACAAAAACGATAAAAACTTCTCAATTTAGTGATCAAAACAACCAACGGAAAGAGCGCGCGCTCGTTGACGTCAGCTTTATCTGTCTTTCCTCTTATTGAAGATAAAAAATAACCAATCAGCGCGCGAGAAATTTGTAAGTTATTGTAAAAACACGGATGGAAACCGGAGAAATATCTGGAAAGAGATAACAAAGCCTAGTGAGGTATTAAAGTCAGTATTAAACTGTTTACCAGATGAAAATAGTCACTGAAGTAGTCATGAAAACTCAAAAGCAGTAAACCATTTCTAGCTGATCTGAGAAACGTTTTTAGCCAATCAGAATCGAAAGATTTGCAATGACTGAGGTGTCACTTTTTCTCTTATTATTATTATGGAAATTATGGATTTCCAGGGGCCAGTTGTATGAAAGATGGATAGCGCTATCAGACGGATAAATCTTATCCGGTGGATAAATTTATAGGATAGCAGCATCGACTTATCCACTGGATAAGGATTTATCCGTCGGATAGCGCTAACAACCCTTCGTACAACCGGGCCAAGGCCACCAAATGAAGGGGGAAAACGTTGCCAATAAGAGGTTGATAACAGTAACACAATAACTAAGTTATATATATTTTTGCAATGGTGTACAGATATTTATTTTTCGCCATTCAATTTCAATTTTTGCAGGCGTCATGCCACCTGGTTGAGTGTCTTTAAAAAATCGAGTTGAGTTGAATGAGTCAAAACTTAACAAAAAACCTAAGTCAAGTTAATTAAAACATGAATTGAACAATCTTCCTCATACTGCTAGAAATCAAGCAAGTTTTACATCTTTCAAAAATGCTGTTTTAGCAGATTTAATCTCAAATAGCAAGCTCTGACCTTACCTTTAGTTTTTTTGATATTTTCATTTTATTAATATTTGATATTATATCTTAGTTACTTGTCTTAGTTATATATATTCACGACCGTCATGTAAACCAGTTTTTCTGTTGGCATTATCGTGTATAAATAAAGGATGATTGATTGATTGATTGAAAGCAAGATTGACTTTTTGTTTGCTCGGCATGGTCTTTCAAATCCCACACACTTTACGTTATCGGGAATGTTCTGGAACCTCCAAATAACTATTAACATGATTCTTTCACCTTATCCTCTTAATATGAAACCATCGCTTTCTCCTCAATTTACAGAATCGATTTCAAGACTTCCACTGACATGTAAAACTGTTTTGATATATAATGTCACTTAAAACTGAAAGCAGTTTTATTAAGTATTTAAGATTTGTCATCTTCAAGATCTCAAGTCGCAGGATTGATGTTCTGGTTAACGTTTTCCCGCCCTCGTAGGCATRCGCGCGCATGTTTTTGTAAGGATGTGGAGAGGAGTTTCGTGGGCGAGTGTGTAGGAGTAAGACAGGATTTCATTATAATTATTATAACTATTGCCCCCTGCTAGTAGTTCATACCAATTATACTGTGGTTATTATTGCTTTAATAAAGTGTTGTTTCTGTGGCTTTTACTTTTGTTGCCTTTTACATTTATGGCTCTTAAGTGGAGTACTCCCACTAAGAAGTGAAGAAGATCAGTCAGGGTGCTTTTCCTCCTCGTCATGTAGACAAGGGAGAAGAGAAGAGAAGAGAAGAGAAGAGAAGAGAAGAGAAGACAAGACAAGAGAAAAGAGAAGAGATCTCTAGATCTGCAAAAGAGATTTCCACGAACAACCAGTCGTACGAGAGTTTATCCATTTTCATACCACAATAATAAAAAGACTAAAAGCTTAATTGTGCCCCATGAATTCATTTGAAAAACTTTTCAGTGGCTGTAGGTACAGTCCAATGCTTCATTGAAGACTTCCTGAAGACAGGTGGCAAGAAGGAAAGGCAGGAGCCGACATGACCGCCTGTCTTACAGTGTCTGTCTTTTACTTAAATTACTAAGCATAATACATAGCAGTAGACATTGTTTTCTTTTGTTTTACATCGACTGTTAGTCACTAATTATACAACTTCGTTTCACCGCACGGACGCAAAAATCATTCTATTGGCCACTTAACTACATTTGGATCTCACAACTGCGCAGACACTTCTTCGTTGAGTACTGAATACGAAGTTGTCTAAAAAGACTTTTTTAAACCTCTAGAAGAGAAAATATTCAAATAAGAAAGCTGAGATGAAGCCTATACKTTTCGTAATACGTGACGGACGAAAGAACGTATTCTGTTAGTTTGAAGGGGCCGGGAGGATCTGGAAGGGACTGGGCGGCTGCAAGGGTGATGTGGTAGCAGGGGAATTATTCAGATAAAACTAGAAAAGAAAGATTTATCTGATTTTGTCAGTTGAAGTCCAATGATAAAATCTTATGTGTATTTGTTTGAAGTCCCAAGTTGATGTGACTATTCGCCCTCTCTAGCCGCTCCTTTCAAAAATAAAGTGTTAAAAAATATGGAATAATTTTGATTCAACTCTAACTGCGAGGACAGTTCATTTAGATCATGTAGTTATTTAAATATTTATATTAGGACACATGCTGCTCTTTATAGACAGCTACTGTTTTTAACGTATTCTCTTAAATTACTTTTTTAAGCACTTTTGAAACCAGCAAAAACTGGAAAAAAATGAAATAAAAACATAAGAAATATCGCATTAGAAAAACTTTATATGAAAATCGTTGAATGATTTTAGAAAAAAAAGTTTGATAGAAGTAAAAAGAAAATAGAAATCAAAAACGTTATAAATATGTGAATTAGAAAGAGAATAAAAAAAAAGTAATGAATAAGAAAATATAATGAAAACATTTATAATTTTTATAATTATAAAGAAATAATTTTCCAGTTACTATGATAATAATAAAAAATAAATAAATAAAAAAATAAAAAAAAACGAAACAAAAAAATACGAATCAATTTAAATGAAAAAATATATATAAAAAGAGAAAATAATTAAGGACATGAACAAATATAAGAGTAAGGAATAATAATAATAATAATAACTTGGAAGTTATTTTTTAATGTTATGCAAACGAGAAGAAAAATGATAAGTTTTCGAAATTTGAATTTCCGATTTCGGCACTTGTATTTCCATATGCAGATTGATTACATTTAAATACGTCAGTTAAATTTTCATTTGGTGGTTGATGGTATCCAAACGTTCACTTTATGGAAAGCTAACCATTTGAACGCCACGACCAGTTATATTTTTCAACATCACTGAACTTGAATTAATGATTGGAACGACGTGTTAAAGTCAGTTCGAAACCTATTTGGGGATTATTCTGCTTGGATTCATCGCGGATTACTAAATTGATACGAAGTGGAATATTTCTAATGGTTCATCCAGCGGCAGTGAAGCCTTATCAACAAACACCTACGCCCAATAGATTTTTGTTGTGCAGCTTATATTAGTTTGATATCCATTGTCAGAATTTGGCTTTTCGAATACAAATAATCTTATAAGTCCTAGCAAAACAGAAGCGAAAAAGAGACATAAATTGATCTTATGGTCGCTGAAAAATTGATGAGCGAGTTGTGCTTGTGAATTGGAAACGAAGACTATAGTTTGGTCTGACCAACACTGACAGGACATTATCTACTTAACCGCACTACTAAACCTGCATACTACATGTCTGTTTAGCTTCTGGTAAACATCGAGGATAATTTTAGAAGTACTCCAATTGAAAATCCGAGGTCTTTGTGTTGCATGTTATAAAAGAGGCTACGTGGATAATGAGTGCTTCTACCGTTCAGCTGCGTTTACACAATGGTCAGAACCACAACTCGTCGCTGACTTTTTACTCGCACGGTAGAGAAGCCAAACCCGCGCTTTCGCGGCGATTGGCAGACGCGAAAAGTGGCGGGAATATAGATATCTTGCCCACGAAAATGACGAATGGTTTTAGCGGTGGAATAAGGAAATCTTTTGAGAGGAAAGAGCAAGAGAGTGAAAAAGAAAGAAGGAGTCGGAGTAAAAGCAAAACGTACGTGTCTTGTTTACAAACATCACTGAGTTTTGGTTGGAAAAAGAGTCTAAGTGTGGAGACTGACGACAGCGATTTCTGTGAGCCAGATAACGATCATCGTATCATCGACATGGACGGATCGCTCAAGAAAGAATCACCCACGGTTAAAGAAAGTGAGAAGAAAATAATGAAAGGCACAGAACACCGAAAGACGGTCAGCGAGGAACAGAAATCTCAGAAAGCTAAACCACGCACGAGTGATGAAAAAGCTGTTAATGCAACGCCATTAAGAAGTAGATCCAAAGGAAAGCGCTCGGAGCTACAAGACGCGCATGTATCCGTTCAACCTAGTACAGGAAGGCAATTAATGATTATCAGCAACCTGGAAAATGGAGCAGTCTCTGTAACGACATACGGAGATGGCAGCCCTGCTTCACCAAAGTCATGTACCTCTTACGTCTACATTAAAAGTAAATTCCAAGGCAATCAGTACTCTAAGACAAAGAGGAGCACAGTAGTTGTTCAAAAACCACCATTATGTCGCAGCATTACCATCTCCGAGGCCTCGCTGAGCAGTGCTTTGAGCCGTCAAGCCGATAAAATGGCGCCCCAGAGCAGGAGTAATACAAACCTAAGAAAAGAGAGAAGCTGGACTGGTATAAATGTACAAAGAAAAAGCAAGAGATCCTTTACTGTGTCTAACGATTCGACGGATGGCAGGTTGAGAACGATTTATGAATCGACCATGGAAGAAAATTGCGACTAATATGAAAATAACAAGACCACAAACTCTTGTAAAATATTATCACAAGAAATACTCGTTACCAGGATGTTTTGGTTCATCAGCAAATTCCAAATATTTATTGCTGGCTTAAAAATATTTCAAGCCGGGAGCCGAGAGTTCTTCTCTCGCTAGACAAAAAACCGGCAAAATTATATATAAAACAAGAATCATAAAGGAAGAAAAACAAACTTCGAACTGAACGAAATAAAAAATATATTCAGAGGGAATATTTCAATTTGATAGCACGAAGACTAGCGAAATAAATGGTTTTTCAATTTTCGGTTAAAAGACGTGTTTTTAAGGCAGAATTTACATTATGGATCCAGCTGCTTGCTGTGGATAGGACTTGTCGACAAAATCTTTATTCAGCCAAAGAAAAACACTTTAAAATATCAACTAAAACGGCGTCTTGGAACGAAAAAAAAAAAAACTGCAGTCGAAGAGTTTCTCTTTATATTTCAAAACTTTGTGTACAAAAAAGCGAAATATAATATACGAAGTCTTTGTATTTCGTAAAGTTGAATGATAGGAATAATTTATTTGAGTTGTACATGATAACAAAAGGCGTCTGAAACCAAAGTAAGTGTTAAGAATGAAAAAATCTATATCGCTAAAAATTATATCTTGGAAAATGATTCCATGGACAGAATTGTCCATTCAAAAGTAACTCGATATGATAAAGATTTATTTTAAGCCAGAAATGTAGTTTTGTTTTAGTAACTGTATTTAATATGGTGGCAGCGGTTGGTAAGCGGATGTAAGGTGCTCCAGTTTATATCCATCCGTTCATAAGACGCAAATCTTAATCCTAATTTTTCAATGAATTGTAAATAACTATTGAGGCCAAGAAAGTGATTAAATATCATTCTAAACTGTGAGTTGGTTTATTATTGTCAATGTTATTGCTATTCGTGTGTGTACATGCCCGTACGATGTTTTTGACTGGCTTCAAATGTTGCTATGGTGACGAGAAGCTCCGACGTCTGGAGCGATGTCCATTCGAATACAAATCTTAAAATAGCGTCAAAAAGCCCAATACGCAACGATAAGCATGAGCTAGTGCATTTACGCCTTCTCTTACTAAATTCCGGAAAAAAGTCCTTTGATGCGGACAGAGAAAAATATTAAAAGACTAATAATAAATAATAATAAGTACCTTAGAAAATGTTTTTGCAGTTGGGTTAAATTAGACCGGGATTTCTGAAGTGTGATTGTCATGGGCTTAATTAAAAACTACAAGTGCAAAGACAAAATCTAATTTGAAAGCGTACGAATTATTCATTATATTGCTGTTAAAATTGGTGAAAAGTTTAATAAGAAACGTGATTACAGTCACATGAGATTGACAGCCTTGGGGTGTATTTTAATATATATTAGGATAAACGAACTTTTTGACATTGGTCCTAGGTAATGATAATACATCCAGCTGATAAACAAACTAACACCAAGAAATTTCAATCTTCATCTAATTTTTGCCGGCATTGACTTCAATTGCCAAATTCGTTAAGGACAAATAGGTTACGTGCTGATCTAAGTAGTGACGTAGAAACGACGTCACTGCAAAACTGAAATGCCATGAAGTCTGCGAAAATTGATCAACGAAAAATAAAAATGTCCTGGCCATTGGAATAAAAATATAAAACTCCTTGTGTTATTGTTATCAACCTCCTATTAGTAAGGTTTTATTTTCATTTGGTGGCCTGGAAATCGACAATTTCAAGAGGAAAAGTGATATTTCAGTTTAGCAAGTGTTCTCGATTCTGATTGGCTAAAAACATTTCTCAGATCAACTGGAAATGGTTTACCGCTTTGAGTTTTCATGATTACTTCAGCGACTATTTTCATCTGGTGAACAGTTTAATACTGACTTTAATACCTCACTAGGCTTTGTTATCTCTCTTTCCAGATTTTTCTTCGGTTACCATCCGTGTGTTGAATGATTTATATAAAATATTATTTTGATTTATTGGATTCAAAATAATACAGGTTGACCGCTTGGGATAAGCCAGGAAAGAGGCCAAAGGCTTAATCATCCCATCCGATTTATCTTCCTTACTTTTAATCATTATTACGATATTTTTCCTCAGATCAGCTGGAAATGCTACAAGCAAGATGATGCTTTATACCTACACTTCCAGAATCCCTTAAATATTTTTTGTAATAATAATATAATAATAATAATAATAATAATAATATTTATTTATAAAGCGCAAATACAAATCTGTTCTAAGCGCTAGTAAGCAAACGACAAAGACAACGACAAAATAAAATTATTTACAAAGAATATGCTAATTTGAAGAGATAAGTTTTAAGTTCAGTTTTGAATGAGGC